AACAAAACTTAAGGTAATCAAACACTTGTTGTTAATGAACACTTAAAAAATGAAGACTTGCATGTAGTTGTGTAACTGAAATAGAAATGTATGCCATAAAAAGCTAAACAATCATTCTTCTGCCCTGCTCTCCCCAACATCCAGCTCTTTTCGTAAGGGATCTTAAAATTTTTTTCTCTGAAGCCCTATTAGCTATACATATTTATAAGACATCCAAGGAAACTGTGGTTCTGATTAGTGTTTCTAAGACCAGAAAGGAGATAATACAGCCAGCACACACAAAAAGAAAAAGAAAAAGAAAAAAAAAAAAAGTAACATTTTTTTTACTGATATAGTACCTTGGTAATGTTTGATCTGTATCTGCACTAAAGGTAGGTGTAGAACATCACCCTGAAGGTGTCTCTTGCTGTCAGTGGATCATGAATGTCAGCCTTGACAGGTATCCTCTGGTGATGTTATAAAGCATATGTGGCTTATTTTAAGATAAGCTGTCCATGCTTTTGTCTTATCTTATTGGAATATTCCTACTTTCTCCCTAGTGTCTGTCACTTTCTTGCAAGAAAGTTGAGAAATATCTTATAAAATCTTGTTAGCTGGTTTTAGTTGTTTTTCTTCTTGCAGACTTCTAAAAGCTGTAACATCTGCCTTCAGATACATGATATTTTTACTGATGCTGTAGAAGCAATTGCGTTATTTTTTGTGTGTGTGTGATACCGTTCATAAATTCCAATTATTGTGAACTTTGCACTTTGGGTACTGTGTATCTTCTGTATTTTTAAGCCCCAAATCCTGCAAAGACTGCTCATGACTTGTTCTGTGACTTTTCATGGAACTGTTTAAAAGCCAAGCTTAAATGCATTCTTCAGTTCTTGTAGGGTCTAAGTCCGTCTCTCTTTTCAAAAGCTTGCTGGTAGGGATGCTTGCCAGCACTCAGGGATCCCTCAGAGGGAGAGGAGGAGCTGATACTTTTACTTGCTTCTGTCTGCCAGCTTCCCATCTCCCTTACAAAATGAGCAACTAACATGCTATTGATGATGTGTCCAGGGCGGAAAAAAATCAGGTAAATAAATAGAATCTGAAGAGTCCACTAAATGGATTCTATTGATGTTTTGCCATTCAACAAGTAAATAATGCCAGTAAAACTTTCACTGTTGTTTAATCATACTTGCGTTCACTTGACCGTGGAGCGTCTTGTCCAAGTATAGTTAATGCTATGTCTTGCCAAATCTTCCATACAAAAAATGAATGAAAGTGTCCATGTTAGCTGTGTTTTGCATTTGAGTGTTTGTTGTGTAGTTTGTTTTTTTTTTTTAAATGGAACAGCTTCTTTCATAATTATATAACTGTATGTGAATATATCAACAATTATGACAGAAATGCCCATGAAGTGTGGGGGTAGTAATATGGAAGATTAAGCAATCCAAAGGAAAACAAGTCATCTCACTATGTCAGCATTCATTTTTTAAGTGGAAAAGTAACATGCAATGTACTAGAGAATTAGAACATTTTTCATGATGCCAACCCTACATTTGACTGAGAGAGGCATCAGTAAAAAGCGAACACCAAAAAAGTCTCTGAAATGTAAGTCAAAACTTAAGAGAACTTGAATAAGCAAAACCAGGGAAAAATAATATGGAAATACAGAAGTGATAAAAAACAGGGGCTGAAATAGTTTGTCTGTTCATGTTATGAATGACCCCCTATTTTATAGGAAAGAAGAGAGGGCACAGAGGACAGAGTATATAACTTGACATAAGGGGCGGAGGACTTCCAGGCCATTCTGTGAAAGTAAAGTTTAAGTCAGTCTGTGGCCTCAGTCTTTCCATCAGTGGGGTTAAATCAGGGGATTTTGTTGTTGACCATTGCAGAGGTTCACTCGCAACTAGTGACTGTGTGTCTTTATGTAGTAAATGGTGCCTGTGTAACAGCCAGGATCTGACCTACTCTGTGTCTTGGATCTCCAAAATGCATGTTCAGCTGATAGGGTGACAACCCATCTTGCTAAAAAGCTGTGGTATGTTAGTTACTAGGGGAAAACGGTTCACAGCTTAAGACAACAGCCTAATGATTGTCACTTGAATTCCTCGAGCTGAGCATACATGTCTGCTTCAGCACTAATGTGCAGTGAGCTTTGGTTAATTTCTTTTAGGGGTAAGTCGGTGTTGAATAACTAGCCTTCATGCATGGAAAACAAAAATTATTTGTGAGCTGGGTGATAGTAGAGACGCAACGTACTGAGAGCCCCTTTGGGATTTGCAGGGTGACCAGTGCCTAGGGTCTGTGCTGCCGTGCCGAGCTCAGCGTGGAGGATAGGCAGGGCCTCAGGGGTGATGCAGAACACGTGTAAAATACCCCGTGGGATCACTTCAGTCCTGTGAAGTTTCCTCTTGCTCTCCTTTAGAAGGGCAAGAGGCAGAGAGGTGCCAGCGAAAGGTGATGCTGTTGTTGAAATAGCACTGAGATTTCAGCTGAGCTTTGTAAAGGAGGATCATGGAGCACTCTTCAAATATTAATTTAGTTTCACACTAATGAGGTAGAAGGCTAGCAGTAATACTCATCTTACTTAGGAACCATAGGATTAGCTCACCTGGATAAGTCGGTGGTAAGGGCTGGAGTATCTGACTGCCCATCGTACTCGTAGCGCATTTATCCTGCTCAGAAATAGGCCACGTCCTTTATTGACTACAGTAACAGTCAGATCTCTGTCATTTAACGAACTCTGAAACTTAACGAATCTCTGGTACCCACAGGAGCTGAAGTTCCTGCTCAAGTAGTAACTCAGCTGCTTTGTTGATGTGTATCCGAAAATACCCCAAACAAAAGCAAGTGGTGGTTCAGCACTTTAGGAAGAGAGGCAGCTGGGGAGCCAGGGCGCAGTGTGGTACCAGGCGGTCACGGTGGGACAGAAACAGCATCAAACTTGCATTTCGTGGTACTGGATTGCAGCTGGATTTTCCACGCTTTACTGTTCTTTTAAAGCCAAAGGTGTTTGTTTCTGTGTGTTTGGATCCGCTTTGCAAGTCACGGACAAAGATTTAGGTGAAATGGTAGGTGATTATGTGCCCTGTAACACTTGCTGAAAAGACAGGAGTTGGTTATGGAAAATGAACAGAGGAGCAGGTGCGGTGAAATCAAAGTTTAAATGTGCTCCATGTAGAAGTAGTGTGATGGGGACAGCAAAGTGTGGAGCTTGATGCCAAGCTGCTACTAAGTTATGGGGCATCCTTAACTGGTGAGGGCCAGGTGTACTGCTGACGAGCAGGGAGGAACTAACAAAATCTAATATGCACCCAGGAAAATGCCATTTTTAAACGTAGGTTAAAATTTCTGAACCGACTTCCTTCAGGGGTTTACTTGTTTCCTCTCGCAAGAGATGTCCGAAGGTCCTTCAGCTTTCTTTGCTGTTGAGAGTCCGCAGGGCAAGCATGTTTCTGGTGCAAACAAGGGCATATTGCCAAAATGCCAGTGAGTTAACCAACAAGAAATGCACACGGAAGAGATCAGCCAAAACCCGAATGAGTGATGGCTAATGGGTGCGGATACGTGGGAGCGCGGCCGGAGCTGTATGGGCTGTAGCTGCTGAGCGACGCTGTGTGAGATTGAGATGGTCCTGGCAAGGCATTCACCCCAACGGTGACACAAGGGCTTGGACAATGGGTGTCATACAGGTGTTGCAGCTTTCCCTTCTGCCTCTGTAGGCTGAAACATTAGCACTCTAGCAGGCATCTTCCAGAAAGCAGCATCCTAAATGTGATGTGTCCTCACAGTACAAGACTCAACTTCTTTTCGTGCCCTTCTGAGAGTCAACAGCAGAGCTTCTGCTGGCTTCACCTGCGGGACCAGGACTTAGCCCAGCTTCTTTATCCTGCTGGTGAGAAGTCCCTGTGAGACTTCAATTTCTGTTGGCTTTATAAAGATCTAGTTGGCTAGCCACTCTCCAGTTTCAGTTTGTTTTGATGTTTGTGTTGTCTTCTTGGAAAGCCACCCATGCTCCTGTCAGGATTATCCGTTGACATTATACAGTGTAAGCAGAAGGCTACGCGGGAGCAGACTGTGTGCTGGCAGTGCTTGTTTCCTGTGGGCTTTGGTACTCGGAAGTGGTGTGCTGATTTTATTTATTTATGTTTATTTGCCTCTTATTTTGGTAGCAGATCTTTAAGCCACCCCTTAAATTGGTAGTTAGCATGTGTTAAGCATGTCTTTTTACTGAGACGTAGTTCTGAGGTATTTTTTTAGATAAGGACACACACACACACACACACGCACACACACGATAGGTGTGTAAGTAAATACGATTTACCTTCCTCATGCGCGTGGTTCAGCGGCAGATGGTTTGTTTTGTTTGCTGTGCAGGGACTTCTGTTGATGAGTACTTTGGAAGTGTCAGGGTAACTGCTTCTGGTTGATTGCTTCAAATTCGTGTGTTAAAATTTGCTTCTCTTGGGCAGGGAGTCAAATTTCCCTGTTGCACCTTTTAATGGCACTTGGGAAATCCTAGCTCATAGTGTCATGGGGTTCTGCATCAACATTGCTATATATAAGCGTATGATTAACAGATGAGTGGCTGGCGATACACTGCTAAAAAGAGGGATATCCTGACATTTTCAGAGGCAAAATGTGAAAAACTACAGTGGACGCAGGTGTGAGAGACCTGTGGAGTCCCTCACTCACTTGACTAGTGAAGTGCGAGGGCTTTTCTGCTGTCCTTCAGACGGGAGTGCATTCGAGAGCTGAACTGGCTGGTGTCCTTCATGCTCTTAAGTTGTATGTTGCTAGTTACCCTGGGCATTAGGTAGAAATGTTAAGATTGGAAAAGATACATCCATGCTGTTGTTGGTGACTGGAATAAATCTCTATCTAATATCTTGCCAAAAACTTCTGAGAGCCTTGCAGTAGTGCCCCGTGTATCTGTCTGTGGTTTGTTTAAGTATCTATATGATGGTTATTTATGCCTAAGGGTTTATTGTGAACTTACGACTATTTTTGCATGACAGGTCACAGTAATGAAAGGCAGTAGTAGGAATAAGGATCATTCGACAGAAGGAGAAGGAACTGGGAAGCGACCAAAAAGAAAGTGTCTTCAGTGGCATCCCCTGCTTGCCAAGAAACTTCTTGAATTCTCTGAAGAGGAAGAGGAGGAAGAGGAAGAGGAAGATATTGATAAGGTAGACTTCATTGGATGCTTTGACCCTAGAAAGTTAATGGCAGGTCAGGTTCTCCTTAGCTGTGTTTTATTTTGCTTGCTTCTTGCTGTTCTCTTTTGTGAATAAACACAGCCAATAAAAAGAAGTGATGCTGTGCCCATGAGGCTATAAGGGCAAGTAGCAAATAACACCAAAAAGTGAGTTGTCAATCATGCTTTTAAAATCTTGGACAAAACGTTCTTTTTTAGAGACTGTAAGGGGTTTAACTGGGTTGTTTTAACAACGTGTTGCACATCTTGATCTTGATTGCTCAAGGTGGCTTTTTGACGTGGTTTTGTTAGTTGTTTATTTTAGACATGAAATTAGCCTGTGCTTGATAGCTGCTTCTTGTGGCTCTGAGGGCATACCAAGCTGATAGTTTTCTTTATTTTTTTAAAGATTAGAGAAATACAAAGATTAAAAAAGAAAAGTTGTCAACAGTTTTTACCATCTTTGCATGTGAAATTCAAATTGTCCTGCAGAATGTGGAGATCACAGGTGGAATAATGTGTCTCTGATTTGACACTTGGTGTTTTGGTATTGTTCAATGACGTTGGCCTTACTCTTTTCTCGTAAGGACCCCATCATGTGGCTCCTCACAAATGTACAGTTAGACTCATCCTCTGTAACAAGAAGTAGGAATGGGTTAGGGAGACGTGATGTTTCCATCACGTGTATAACGTTCATATCTGCATCTCCTTGGTGCCTTCCTAAGGCAGGAAAGGAGAGGTCAGCACTGAGGAGACTGCCCTAAGCCACATACTGGTGAGGAAGGGTGACCTTGACAAGAATAAGGAGCATTGATGCTCTAATGGTGCTCTAATGGTGCTTTACGGTGCTTTCTGTTGACCTCACAGGTTGCTTTCACAATGTGGTATAAAGGAGCAGTGTTGCAGATAGGTAGGAGATGGTTTTCCGTCTCATACAGTAATTAATTTAGTCAGAACTAGTCTTCTGTGTTGCATCCTTTGTAGGAATGATACACTGGCCTATAAGTGGAGAGAGTGTATTTTGGCAGCATATTCTGTTGAGATTTGCCCTGAGGCTCTGACTGGGTGGCTTTGCAGTGGCTGCACTGCAGCACAGTTCGCAGGCTCAGCAATGAGCGGCGAGAGATGAGGAACAACGGTTACCTCTGCACTTTCCTGCCTGTGCACTCTGTAGTTGCAGACACATGTGACTGAGGTTCTCTGAGCTCTGCTCACCTCATCCCACTGAGATGATTTCTAGGTTGTAGGAAGGATCTTCTCCCTCCAGCCCCTTTAGGACTGTTACTAGAAAACGATCCTCAGCTTAGAAATCTGCTCCACTTGCAAGTCAGAGTTTTAAGTCTTGCAGAGAGCACGAACAAACCTTGGACTGTCAAGTGAGGAGTCTTGATGTAGAACTCCAGGTCCTCTGGATGGAATGGATGGCCTTTGGAGACAGCTGTGCATATCTGTGTGTGTCTCCCTTGCTCACAAACAGCATACGCAGACTCTCCATGAGAAGCGTGGATAACTGAGTTGCCACCCCCTTCCCTTTCGGTTCCGCTAGGTGCCGCTCCTTGGCGCTGATGGTTTAGAGCAGGATGCTGATGAAACCGAAGATGATGAGTCCTCCGAGCAACGAGCTCGCCGACCTATGAATGCATTTCTCTTGTTCTGCAAACGCCATCGTTCTCTCGTGCGAAAAGAACACCCTCGCCTCGATAATCGTGGCGCAACCAAGATCTTGGCAGATTGGTGGGCAGTCCTAGATCCGAAAGAAAAGCAGAAATACACTGACATGGCCAAGGAGGTATGTTCTGTCTGAATGGTGGATGTAAAGGGAGCTCATTACGCATTTGTCTATCTTCTGTTTCTCTATGTATTAAATGTTTTCAGTGGGGTCTTTCTCTTCCCTGGGTTCCTAAGCTTCCCCAGTGGGATTATGGTGCCCAGAGCTGCAGCTGTTCTTGCTTTGATTCATTTGGCCTTTTGGACCAGAAAGGAAAGAAACTGGTCTACGCAAACTAACTTAGTTCTAGAAGTCTTTGACACAAATACATGCACTTTGTGATACATCTCACCTGGTAATTCCTGCGGTAGAAGCATTAACACGTGGATAGTGTGCGGCCGTTGAAAACAGTAAGTTATACAGTTCAGTGTCAGCTGGCTGTAGTGATGCTTAGCTCAAGCTCAGGCATTTGCTACTGATACCACAGGTTGCTATTATAATGCAGGTGGCCCAAACCAAAAGCAGGTGGCCCAAACCAAATAAACGTAGTCCCTTTTTAACTTCGATGCTAAATAATTTGAAAATTATTAGTGTTTCATGGAGTACTCTCCCTATCTGTTGTTAACCACTTTCTGACAGAGCAACCTTTGGTGAGGCAGAGTCCAATACCCGAATCAGAGAGCAATACATGGTCAAAGTCTGTTAACTGGGAGCAGGGAAAAGAAATTTAGCCCCATATTTCACAAAGTATCTTTACGTCAATGTAAAATTTAAATGAGGCTTTTTAAGAAATAGCTTCCTTGGTAAGCTAGCCCCAGGAAGGCTGCGGATATCGATAGCAGAGTGAGAGACACACAGACAATTACTTAGGCTGATAATATCGCCCCAAAACAGATCCCTGTAATTACCTGTGAGATGTAGATTGCAGGTAACTATTGAATTCAATCTTAGCAAAAATAATAGAGGGCCAGTGAGAAGAAGGAAGAACATCTCTCTCGTTTGTCGAGTAGTGCTAGCACACTATGAGAAGCACAGATAGGTGTGAAATAATCGGGGAAACTATTATCCATACCTGCCCTGTCACCCAAAGTTGTCTGCTACTGTCAACATGTGTTTATACAGTCTGGCTGTTCAGCAGTTGATGTGAGCGTGGAAGGGTCCACAGGAAAAGCCAAGTGTTCTGCATGGCAGGTCCTTTTTGAAGCAGGATTGGTAGTACCTCTGTAGTTCCCCATCTGTGACACTGTTGAAATACTAGAGTCTCAGCTTTGTCCAACCATTTCTGATTTGTTCTGCATTCCCACTTGCACATTAGCGATGCTTCTTGAAATGTGTGGGAAAAGGGCAATTAGGAGATCGGGTACAGATACAGAGGAAGCAAAGATGAAAAAGAAGAAATAATTTTTGGAAGAAACAAACCTGATGTGGCTGGTTTTCGTAGCCTTTTGTCTTGCCGAAGGAAACTCATTCATTAAGAAGGAAAATAATTGCAGAACTTCTGTATGAAGTGACAGATCTGAAACTATTAATCATATTGTTGTAGAAATCATTGTTCCAGTAGTGATTTATTTATTTTTCTTGGCACAAAGAACAAATTGCATATTCAACGTCAAAGCGAAACAATAAATCTAAGTAGTTTACATCATTACAACTAGTTCCAAGAATGTGTAGAAGAAAGATAGTGTATAATTTTTATTCTTTAAACCGTTGTATGTTACAGCAATAATTAGCAGCTGTAATGTGCTATTGAATATATTTGGGCCTTCTTCACCAACACAGGCCCATTCTGTGTGTGTGAATCGGTCGTTTTGTTTTAACGCTCGCTTTTGTATTTAGGCTTACTGCGGAGACTGTCAAAAAGATGTTAATGTCAACTCTAGTGCAAACTATTTATTGGTATTTTTCTTTTTCCTAAGGAGAGCTCATTTAAAAATCAAGAAGCTGAATGCCTTTGGAAGGACATAAAATTACCATTGTACCGATAATCTTCTGTTTGAGTACTTAGTGTACAAGCTTGTTGAAGTCTAAAATACAGCGGATGAGCTTCTGTTACTTAAATGTAGCTTTTTGGTGCCCTTTGGCTTTCAGTTTTCACCACATAGCCTCTAGCTACTGCCCTGGCAGGGCACACATCTCCCAAAGGACCCTGTGTCACATCCGCTACCCCCACAACGTGTCTTGTGTACCCTGAGCATCTGAATCGCTCTTCCAGAGATACGAATGGGCCTGGCAGAAGTGGTCCCTACTGCAGTGGCTACAACCCTGGTTGTTTTACAGTCTCAAGAATGTTTTTGCTGCTTGAAGCCACAGTTTACAAAGCCAGTTAGCTTAGATCAAGCGTCAAACAAGCAGCTTTCAGTTTCTTACCTGCTTAGTACCAGTAGTGATACTATCTCAGCAGTGTGGAAATCGAGGCATTTATATATTTACTTACATATGTCTAGCTATATGCAAGATCTAGGATTTTGGAACCGAGAGTGAGACACCTAAACTTTTTGCCAAGTGGAATTATGAGAAGTTTTCTAGTGAGTTGGACATCTATCTCTGATTCCCATTGAGAGGATAACCAGGTCTACAGTTCATTTAGGCACTTCTGGAAAATCCCGTTAGGTACCTCTCTGCACCTTGGGGTGCCTCAATTACCAAGAAAAACCAGCCCCATGCTCCCTCCATTTTCAGTCTTGTGGTCTAAGGTCTCTTGTAGGAACAACTGCCCTGGAGGCCTCATACTGTGCCTGCAGAGCTCAGTGTCAGCTTCTGCTGGTGTTTTCTTTAGGAGCAGGCTTTCTATTTGTATCCTGCAGACTTCCTAGATCAACTTAACTTTGAAAATTTCATTATCTAGGATATAAGTCCAGTAGCTGATAAATGCTCCAAGTGGTACCACAAGTGTTCCTGCCATTTGTTAGCACTTCCCTTCACTGAGAGGGAAAATGAATTCTCACCACTCATAAATACGCTCCAGCGTTTTTAGTTACTACAATAATAGGAGTAGTGTGTTTTTTCTGTTAACTCTTACAGGATTTTCACTATAACCACCCTGTTCAGGGACTGGGAATATTTAGCTGCCTTGGAAAATAGCCAGCGAGATTATTATTGTTCAAACCTTTTTTCCCGTGCTAGAAAACACTTTGTTTTTAAAGGTGTCCCTGCATCAGCAAAATCCAGGCAGTCGGAATTGTTTCCTGTAGGGAGCAGCCTGATGAATCCAGGCTGCTGCTGTTCAGCAGCAGAGGTGAACATTTCCCTCACCAGTGCTTGGCCAGTGGTTTCGCAGGTAGTGAGCTCAACTGGGAGCTCGCCGGCCTTGCTGTGCTGCTGCTTTGGCAGCTGCCTCGGGCTGGGAGGGGACAAACGTTCTGGCTTCCCAGCTGGAGTCTGGCAAGTTCGCTGAGTGAGGTATGGACCATAACATGTAACATGAACCCTACGTCCCTCAGGAGTGAAAAATGGAGTGTAGTATTTTCTGGAGATTTTTTTGTTGTTGTTAGATCTCTGGGTTTCATGTGACATTTAATAGCCAGTTGGTGGGATTTAAGCATACATTTAAAGTTAAGCACGTGCTAACTGCTACCCTGAGGTGTAGCTGGAATCCGCTTGTGAGCTCCTGTTCCCACCACCCTGGAGAAAGCAAATCTTTTTTCATTTGGTGATGAAAGCAACTCGGGGAGTTGCACTGAAGTGCAGCACCTATTTTAACCTCAGCTCTAAAGTGGCACTGGTCCCATTGTGTAATGCATCTTTCCCCAGGCTTTCACAAAACAGAAAGGATACATCAAACAGATCCCACAAACATATCCTGTGCTTTTTTTATCTCACCTGGAACATCAGGACGTGACCCTGCCAGGCCATCCCTGCCACTCCTGTGCATTCCAGGTTAAGGACTTACAGAATCTATCATTTAATTTTAGGTCTTGGTATAATAGTCACAAAAATCAATCCCTGAAGTCTTTCTGAGATTTGGATCAGGCCCCTGTATGCATTTTATAAAACTACTTCTTGGCCATTGTTTAACTTTTTTCCCTTTTCATTTATCTCGAGCATTGAAACTGTGAAAGGGGCCGATGAGTTGCCCTCCCTGTTTGCTCCCTCCCCTTCAGAGAGTGCGGTTAATGTTTACTTCTTGGCTTTGCAGAGGAAAAAAATCCATTAATACACCACCTCACTTGAATTGCTCCTGTTGGAAACTGATTAAAAGCTTACTACTGCCTCGTCTCACAAATGGCGAGCATTCTGGTTCTCGTTTGATGGGCAGCCTGTTGGCTTGTCAAATTACTCCATAGAATAATCCAATCACTCAAAGCAGCGATGCTGATACGAAGAGCTTATGTACCTTGTTGCTAGAGATTCTGTGCTTTTCACTCTGCAGGATGGAAACATGATTTGTGAGTGGGCTGTGGCTTTAACAATGGAAGGCAAAGCTGCTGCTCTCTGTATTTCCTTTCCACCTCTTCCTTTGCCCCCTCCCCTTCCCTTCCCTCCACCAGGCTATTTTTGTGGTGTTCTGAGCTCCCGAACCAAACTGAGGGAAAGGGAAAAGGGGCGAGGTGAGAGGTGTCGCAGTCCTTTGGCTGCAGATTTAATACACACACCCTATTCAGAAGATACAGCGTGTATGTGGGTCAGCGGTCCCTGCAGATTTTTATTATTTATAGCCATTTCTATAAATACGGGGCTTCACACAGCGAGTTCGCACAGTGCCGTGCTTGTAAACTGAAACGTTTTTATCCTCGCTGCAGTCTGGAGGTAGCAAGTGCCAGCTGATGGGTTAGGATGGAAGTGAAAGTAAGCGACAGACGTGCGATGGTGATCCTGCCACAAGGCATGCCGTTTATTGATCTGGGAAAAGGCTGCAGTGACTCTATCAGAGGACAAGGTTTCCAGTGCTATTTCTGTGTTTGAAACCCAAAGGATTTTTTTATATTTTCCCCTCTGCATGTTTTTCTGTGGAGGCATGTGCATGAAACCTAGGTGCTTCTCTGTGCCGTAACTGGGACTGATGACAGCTGGGTGGGTGGCAACACATGTAATCATGGAAGAGAATTCCTGCAGCAGCCCTGCCACGTACTTCAGGGTAAAACAGCTCTTTTGGTCGTTTGCCGCCATCGAGAGCTACCTAGTGCTTGAGAAGGTATTGGATTCCTTCGCCCTGCAGTGAGCACTGGTGCTTACTGGGTGGGCTCCCACAGCAGCCAGTGCCGTATGCCCCTGTGACTTGTTAGGCAAACGTTTGCAGCTGGCATGCGTGGCATGTCCTCCGATTCACCCGTTCTCCACCTTGCATAGCAACACATTTAAAATACTGAAATTTTAAATACTGAAACTACTGTGCTCTTTTTATCACTGTTAACATTAAAAATGTCTTGTTCTGATCTGATCAGCAAGTTACTTGGAAAACATCACTGTTGTATTTTGTGAATAAAATAGATCCCTATTCTTCCCCCTATCCCCTAAACTCTGTAGGATCCGGACCTTTTCCACCATCACTTGTGTGTAGTCTGGCTTCGTTTGTTTTGCTGCCGCATACAGAGAATATAGCAAACAAATGAGATGTGTACTTTGTGCTCAAGGCCATGGAAAGTTTGAAATGGTCCCAGTTTATTTTATGCAGCTCTGCAGCATGGTACATTTTGGAAGGAATGCTGGGATGATGTATCAGACGTTACTGAAAATGAGATGATACTCGTAGTGGTTTATTTTCAATCCCTGGTTTGGGAAGGCATATACTCAAATATTCTAAAATACGGAACTATTAGAGAAAAATGAGCAGAAGGTGTGGAGTATCATGCTGCATTTATTGCTAAATGTATGTTTTCATTTCATTCAAACTAGAAAGTAAACAAAGATTGTATGTGCAAAAGAATTCAAATAGCTGGCTTTGTTTCCCAGAGAGTGAATGTACAGGCGCTGGGGAGCAGCTTGCAGGATCAGAACTTCAGAGTGCTCCGTGCGATAAACCCTCAGGAGAGGAAAGAGAAAACTCCACTTCTTTAAATACAGCTCTATTTATCCTAATGTTTCTTTTCATCAGATCGTGTTGGCGGTCAGACTCTTAAGCATGTGATTAAACTGTTAAAAAATCAAGATATTTAAGGATTATTTACTATATTAAATCCTCTTACACACAGTGCACTCTGTTGCCCTGTGGTAGTATAGTGTCATGACTGGTAATTTTCCTTTTCTTTCCTAGTACAAGGATGCATTCATGAAGGCCAACCCAGGTTACAAGTGGTGCCCCACAACAAACAAACCTGTGAAAACCCAAACGTCCACAGTCACAAACAGGAAGAAGCTATGGGCCTTTACATCAGATCCTGCAAAAGATTTGCCAAGCCCAAGGAAAGCAACTAAAAGCGAAGAAATGCCACAGCTTAACTTTGGGATGGCAGGTGAGATTTCCATTCATGTTACTCAGATGTAGCATCCTCGTTTTGTTTTGAGGATGCGGCGTTGAAATCAAACTGCGATACCGGTTTTCTTTACTGCAGGCGTAATGTAGTGCAGATACCTTTCATGTCACAAATAAGGTACCAAGACTCTAAGTAAACCTCTGCCTAACAACTTTCTAAAATTTTCCTTAGTGCATGATTGCTTTCAAGAGTTGAGTCCAGATATGTGGCATCATAACCCATACAGCAATCAGGGTCTGGATTTGATTTATTTTTTTCAATTCCGGCTTATCTGCTGTTAGAAATTTCCATTTTCTAGTCAAAAAGGAAAATGCTGATCGTGTGCATTCTTCTTCTCTTTCATAAAGCCTTGTACTATGCTTAGTAATTTGCTGTTTACAAAAATAATTTATGGGTGTCTATGAAGTTGGAGGTGTTAATGTTCTTGTGGATGCATGTACTGGTGGAGCTAACTTTTTGTATTTAAATCAAGAGAAGCGTAATTTAATTTCACTTAAAATACTCTCTTTTGCCCATTATACCTCAAAGGGGCAGATTCTACTTTTAAACATCTAAAAAAAAATGTAAAAAAATCCGTGAATAAGTGTAGGTGGAGCACCTGAACTGGTGAAAGGCAGATAATCTTTCACTGATATCCACAAATAGCAGAATTGTTGCAATAATGACCTTGAAATACAGAGACATTAATGTTAAATACTGGCAGCTTAATGTAACAGTCAAGGTAGAATATAATTTTTCCCCCAGCACCCTTTTTTTTTTCTTTTTGTGGTTTAAAGTTTCTAATTTTATAAATACTGATGCATTTGAAACTTCGTTGTATCCTACCTAGTTTATGACAAGTGTGTGGCAGATAGTACTACTCTGCTTAGAGAGATTGTGCGAGCTGAAGAGTGGAAAATGATTTTATGGAACAAATGTAAAAGGATAAAAAGTGATAAAGACATGTATACCTTTTTGCCAGTATAGTAGCATGAAAATTCCTGTAACGAAATTCCTTCTGGCTATGAAGGAACTGTGAAATGTGATCAAAATAATGTTTTTCATGCTGCATGGTTATGATATATGGGAGACCAGTTCTAAAAATCGCAAACCTCTTCATAGAATCATAGAATGGTTCGGGTTGGAAGGGACCTCAAAGATCATCTAGCTCCAACCCCCCTGCCGTGGGCAGGGAAACCCTCCACTACACCAGGTTGCCCAAAGCCTCATCCAACCTGGCCTTGAACACTTCCAGGGATGGGACATCTCCAACTTCTCTGGGCAACCATTCATCCCATTTTGCTTTTGCTATCAGAGGAGTAAGTTCTATGCTCCTTAAAGGTTTATCGACTTAACACAAAGACAGGCCTTGGTCTTCCTGTCTGCCATCCCCCACTGCTCCTGCTGGTGTCTCCAAATGTGGAGTTTCGGAGTAGAGAGAGATTTGGAATCAACACGTGTCAGAGCAGAGGACAGAGAACTTAAGAATTAATTAGAAACTGGTCTAATCCACTGTTTTATCTATGGAGCCGTTCGTTTCTGAAGAAGGTCCTTTTGTGCTACATGTGATTTAAATTTTTTTTCATTATTATTTATTTACTGCAAGCTGAGTCAATGAGCGTAGTATTTCGTAGGGAGTCTCACTCCAGTCCTCATGCCAGTGAAGACTGGTTATTTCTCGAGCATAACAATAACTTATAAAATAACAACAGCTTCTGACAGAGATTTTAGTAGCGTCCAAATCATGACAAGTCTGCCATGCCGAATGGATTACTGTTTTGTCAACTATATACCAGTTTGTGCTAATGATATTTTCTTGTGTTTTTCTCCTCTTGATTTCATGTAATGGTTCAATTCAATTCTGACTCTTCTATCCAGCACCACCTCTTTTAAAATCCAAGCTATATACTGGCTGGCGAACTAAGATGTAGCTGAACCACCTCAGAAACACTTTTACTTTTGAAATTCCATTGATTATCTTGCATCTTCAAGGCAGATAGCTTCCTTAGGACAGGGATTATATGATTCCAGAATGATTCCAGGAAACCGGTTTTACTTGTTGCTAGTTGTTAATCCTGTCTTGATTGCTTTTTGCATTTCCATTAAATTTTGGAAGATATAGAGAGTAAGATCTTCCTGGCTTTAAGTCCCACACAGGCCATATCTCTCCTTTATTTTTGGCATTCCAGCGATCACCACCCCACTTCTAAGTCTCTTGTGTTGACCTATCTTTGTGTCAAGAACCTGAGTCGAGGCACCAAGCAGTTGGGCTTCTGACCTGCAGACCTGCTATTGGTGTCCGTGCTCATCCAGCCTGGAAGTTGTAATTTTGCGTGTTTTTCTCATGACAGTGGCTCACCTGTGATCTGTCGTAGGGCATAGGGCAAAGACAACTGCTGTTCACAGGTGGACTTGACCATGGCAGCATTTACCCTCACAACTGCGGAGCTAAGCGAGCAACAGCTCTGCTGTACAAATGTGCAAGATTCCCTATACTTTCACATTTCTGCATCAGAAGAAAACCATTTGAGCCAAAAAGCTTTTTAGGGTGGAAAAAATACACTTCCTAGAGTAGGCAATATTGATAGAGATGCAATTTTTGGTTTTTAGAAAGAAGCTTAATTCTGCACCCAGGTAGAAGTTAGTTGAAACTGGTAGCTGCTGACCTTCTTTCTCCTTAGCTCTTCCTCAGTTTGTTCTCTCCTCC